ATTTTTAAAGATCTCTTTTTGTCGTAAAACGGTGTGAGAAATTTAAGTTGCTTTCTTCCTTTCCAAATTTTAGAAATTCAGGGGACTCTACGGAGTTTTACAAATTCTTTCTGAGATTCGTTTTGAAATCGTTTTATAAACGTTTCCCATTTAAAACGAAATTATAAGAAACTGATGCGCTATTTTTTGCCGTTTTATCCCACTTTAAATGAAAAATGTGCCGCTAGTATTGGAATAACTCAAGACAGACCATCGAGGAGGTTGCATGGTCGAATCTTGCTTGCATTTACTTACATTTTACATACCGGTTGTGCAGTGTCTGAGTGTGTGTATAGTAATTGGACATTTGGTCTGGACATTTGGAGCTGGACATTTGGTAAATAGTACTACAGTATATAGTATACTTGTGTTTATAGTTAGTGTTATACTTACTGCTATAGTTAGTATTCTATATTATGGGGGATGGCGGTCAGGCGGCCTAGAGCCGCTTCATCGCCGTCCCAACGGACCGCGACTAGAAGAGGGGATAGCGCTAGGGGCAATGGCCCCCCTAACGTCAAATTCAACAGTCAGGGAATTGTTAGGACTGGCTCGAACAAGAGGACGCGGGAAAGATAATTCGCAACAGAAGATAATTCATAAGAGGTTCCTGGAGCGCTCTTGTCATACGCGTAGGATGGTCATCGTGAAGTTTTAGTCGGAACGGGTCCGACACTACTCTGCTGTTTATTAGCAGTCCATGAGGATTTCTCCACGTGCAAAAAAAAAAAGAAAAAAAAGTATTCTATATTATGACATCAATAGGGCATACTATAGGGCAACAGGACAATACTATAGAATTACGAAAATAAAGAAACATATGGAAAAAAGTAACTTGATTCTACTTTGTTTTGCAACAGAAAAGACCATTTTGAGAAAACTAAGTTTAGCAGTGTGAAAGTAGAAATTTTGCCCTTTGAAATAAACCAAGGTAGGATTTTCATGAAATTACATCAATTCAAATATCAACAGTTTTTGGGTCAAAACTTAGTGATCCTTTAATTCTGTGGAAAATTTCTATTGAAATAAGATTGGTTCCATATGAAAGTAATATATTTGTTCAATATTGAGAAATATTTCTAGTTAAGTTAGTTAGTCAGTTATTCAGTTAGATAGTTACTTAAGCTAGCTAAAAATATCAGTTTTTATTTCTCTATTACTATCGTTTTTTCTCCTTCTTGTCCCTTCTTTATTGACGTAATTTGGACCTCCAGAAAAAGATTATATTTCTGTATTACAATATATTTATTGTATATTCTTTGTTACGAAAATGTTATTATTATTTTATTTGTAAAATTCTTAAATGCTTTAGATATGTTTAGATGAAGGAATATGTAATTATAATATCAAGAAAGATTTAATAGAAAGCAAAGAAAATTAAATGAAAGATTCAAAGAATATGTAACTCTATCAAGTTTTAGAACAACCAAACAGTTGAATTATCATCCACGATATTAATTAAAGTTGTGAAAAAAGGCCTAACAGTCTAGAGTATTACCGAAAAAAACTGAAAATACAAACTTCCGCAATCAAGCAAGTATGTATGATATTAAAATAAATTACAATAAAAAATCATACAGGATCCGAATATAACTAAAAGATAAGTATCCTGACAAAGAACCAAGATGCAAGACTAATACAATGAAAGAATTATAGCTCTAAGGATTCAGTAAAATCTCATATGTGTAGCACTAATTTATTAGATCTAACAATGTATTTGTAAATGTAATAAAAAGTTCTATGAAGAAGTCAAATATAACAATAATAGTTGAAAGAAATGTATAAATAAAAAAAAAGCGATCGAGCTCTATACGTCTCGCTATTCAAGCGTACTCATTAGCCATGCAGGTATAAAGTGACTTATGAAAGTATATATTTGAAGATTTATAAAAAGCCTTTTACGGGTGTTATGTTTTTGACACAAAATATTGTGAAATACTATCAGTAGACTGCGGATTTTTATGCATCTATGGGAAATCTACATATGGGAATCTACATATATATAAACATCTATAAAGTACCCAAAGTAAGAGAATGATATAAATCTCGATGTTTAGATCATATTTCTTTGGTTGTACCTATTTATAATATTTCATATATCCATAAAAGCTTCTATAGCAAATGCGCAAATGCTTCCACAAGTCATTATATGAATACATGATAGTCAGTTATGGAAGCTTACCTTATTTATCAAAAACTAAAAATGCACTTCGCCACAAAATTATTAATACTTGCATATCAATATCATTATTAATAATTTATTTCGTAGGAAAGTTATAAAAATTAAAATGCTTAATTCACAAAATTCTTAAGATAAAATTACGTTAGACGTTATAAAATCTTTAATTTTTTCAGTACTAAGGAGATTGTAAGCACATTATTGAGGCTTACTTAGGGAGGAGCGGGACTATAGATATTAATATAATACATATTAAGCCTATTACTTTAATAATTTCATATTGATATGATATGTATATGTAGTTTTTGTAACGTTATATTTTATATTTTTACTTCTTTTATCTTAATAAATGCGAAAACGAATGAATTGTGTATGAATGAATGAATGAATGAATGAACGAATGAACGAATGAATGAATAAATAATAATGTCTTAAAATGGCTAAGAAATATTGTAGAGCTAAGGTTTTCACCATAACATTTCATATTTAAGTAAACAAGTCTATGTAAAGGAGCAAAATGTTTGTGACTGTATAAAAAACTTTCATGACTATATTAGTATGTAAAAGTCATTATGTATTAGTCATGTAAAATTTTTTTAAATTTCATAATACATATATTCATAAAACTTTTTATGGGAAGTGCTTAAATCTGGGGTCATAACAATTATAATCCAAATTAAAAAGTACTTGGAAGATAGTTTCCTTAAAAACAATGTGAAAAATTAGACGAATGGCGTTTTCAAATATATAAATATAGAAATATTGGAAACGTATTAAAAATGAATTATGTCTTACTTTCGAGGTATTAATTATTTCGAGGTCAGTAATGCTAATATAACTCAACGACGGCCAAAAATTATCAAAAAAATATTCTGTCATCAATAAATAGTTAGTGGCAAGCAAATAAACTTTGACTATTTATAATGGTTATTTGTAACCAGAGTATTTAAAAATTATTAATTTGTACCTACTTATTTAATTTGTTGAGACGCTTTTTTAAGATTTAGTGATCACTATCTTCCATCTAATAAAAACTTTACCTTCTTTCAGGAACCTTTCCAGTAAGAATTTCAAAAATAACTTCCACTATAACTAATTCCACTATTCAACACGTCCCTAATTTTCTAAGCTTCAATAGATGATTCTTGTAGACCTGCGGGCTAAACACGAATGGGCAAACCGTTTTTTTCCTAGAACCGACAGTTTTCGAAAAAATCAATTTTGAAAAAAATTGCAAATTTTCAACTTGTGTTGTGCTGTTTTGTATGTTTTGTGCTGTTAGAGTAGCAGTTGCCGAGTTGCGGTTGGGACGAAAAAATTCTGTGGACTCTTTTGAACAGAATAATATGTATTGTTAATGCATTATAAACATTTAAATATGTTTAAATAATGATCAATGCGAAAAGGGCGCCTAATACGCACCCAACACTAGCTCGTGATAGATAAGATACTTTGGTTCAAGAAAGCATCAAGAAAAACTAGAAAATCATGTTTTGATTTCAACGTAAAAGTGTAAAAACGAAGAAGTTTGACAAAACATGTGGCGGCGGCAATGGTACTCAATTTCGGCGGTTAAGGACCGTGCGCGTTTACCAATTCCATTAGGCCGAACGACGGGCGAGACATCCGCTAACATGAGTACCACTGCCGTTGCCATGTGTTTCGTCAAACTGCTACTCTTTTATATTGGAAACAAAACATGATTTTCTAGTTTTGCTTGCTACTTTTCGTAACGAAAATATGTACTCTATGGCGTGTTATGGTTAAATTTTCTGCTAGAGCTTTTGGAATAAATTGAGAAATGTAAGCAAAAAATGGCGCGTTTTAGTAAAGTTTACATCATTTTTTCGTCCCAAATGCAATTGCATTGCTTCTACTCTACAAGCGCAACATATCTCCAAAGTTGAAAATTTGAAATTTTTTTAAAAATTGATTTTTTCGAAAACTGTAGATTTCAAGAAAAAAAAATGTGTTGCAGATTTGTGTTTAGCTCACAAAAGTATACGAGAATCATGTACTGAAGGTTTCAAAATCGAAAAAAAGTTCAAATTTATTGAACAGTATTGTTTTAGTCCTTAGTTAAGATCAAATAAATTATTTCTTAATAATTTTTTATTTTAGATAACTTTCTAATAGAGTAATAAATAATTTGGATTTTGAATATTGTATTTTACATATTTTCAAGTTATAAACGATATACCCGAAGTATATACAATTGGTTCAAATAAATAATTTCATGAAGCACAGTATATTGTCATGTACCCATCTATCCAATGCTACACCATTATGAATATTTCGCCTGGTGAATCTTTTCACTCTTGTCTTCTCGCTCGCGAGGTTACTTGGCCCCAGGAAAAAAGCAATAACCTCATTGAAGCAGGAATACAGTGGTTCTTTCCGTTCAAGTCCGTTATCACAACGTGAGAGTACGTCACAAAGCATAACAAGCTGTGTGGTTCGAGGGGACAGACGTGGTGGAGTGCTTGATCGACTCGACTGAAGGCGAAGTGACGGTAAATCGTTATTTCGTGTGGATTTACGGAGTGTCGAGTTTTCATATTGTAGGAGAATCCTTGATTATTCGAACTAGTCGTGAACACATTCTTTAGATAATCGAATAATTTTGTTTCGTATGATTTATATATATTTCGGACAATTTTATATCACATATAATATATAACATAACATTATAAACATTAAAATAAACACTAATTATTACATAATATAAGTAAAATAAAATTATACTTCTTAATTCTATAATAGTTTTAATACATATTAAGTGAGAGTAAAAATGTTTAAATTTAAATGTATCAATGTATCTGTGCATTCTCTATTCTCATTTCTCAATCTTTCTCATTTGGGACCACGCCCAAATTTTTCATTAATTGACGTTTCGATAATTAATTGTTTCGTTTGAAGCCAATCTGTCAAACCATCTGAAGACAACTCGACCACGTGGCTTTGGCAATCGCGTCGTGCTTCATGTTTTTCTTTCGGTATCGCGTGCGTGATGAGTGTCACGACCACATCCGTCGATTGTGTCGTTTGTAGTCGTGATAGATGTACATTTCTGTCACTTTCCACGAATAATCGAGAGTTTTCAAGAATTTTTGAACACCACCCATACTTTGGAGATATTCAAAAGGAATATTACAATCTTTCGTTTAAATAAGTGTAGTCTGTGTATAATAGAGTGTATCAATGTAGTGTATGCGTACAGTGAGTAATGAAATCATGCAAATCGAACGGCAGTTTGTCTTCCTTGCTAATTTTTTTCCTTTTTTTTTTATTTAATTTGTACTTTACAATTTGTCCAGCTGGACATTCGGTAAATTTTTCTAACTTAATTGCTAAATAACATGTGGATGACTACCCCCAGCGGGATACCATCTTCGAGTTTGACTATTTTATTTCTTTAGTGAGGTCAGTGGGGTGTTTTCTTTTTAGTCTTTTTTTTATGAGGGTTTTGCTCGCTTCAGCAGCCAGCTGGTTTGGATGTGTTGCCGTTCTTTCCTTGTATTTTTCTGCGTACGTGCCGATTTCTTCTTTGATCGTTGGTATTTTTAAGTCTTTCTTGCTAGTTACGGTTCCTTTCGTGAAACTGTACTACGGATACTGTTCTCCCATAAACTCTTTGACATAATCATACGGGCATCTCCTTGTTAATGTTTATTACATAAATGGATTTTTATCATTTATTATTATCCTATAAAAAGCTGTATTTTCTACTTTTGATAATTACCTTCAACGTCTAGAATGTCCAATTGTGTAAATACATTTACAATATTTCTATGACTGTTGTAAATACTTTTCTGTTATCTTGTGTACTGTCTATCTGATTTACCTCTATTTAGAAGAGTCATAATTTTCCTTCTTTATGCAGTTTGACAATAATTTTCCATTCAGGCTTGCTTGTTTCCGATTTCCTCCTCATGATTCTTAAATATAAATATAGATACACGTTAAATTTTCGTTTCTATTTGCTGTCAAATCCTGTTAGAGGCATATTGGAGATCATCTATTTATATTTAGGGCTTTGACTAAATACATGTTTGTAAATTATGTACTCTAAAACACGATGTTCAAATACTCCAATTACGTAATATTTGTACTAAATTGTAACCTATAATAAATGTTGTGTAGTTTCTTTACGTGTAGATGAACTTCTCCTAACTTTACGTATATTTAAATGTACATATTGAATGTATATATGCTAGTATAAGCACAATTTTTTTTTTAACAACTCACAATACATGTATACATATTAGAATATACATATATTAGTATAGTGATAGTTCTATCAAAAAAAGTTATTGGATTATGGGAAAAATTCAATTATCCGAACGTTGGTGTCACAATAATCAAATTCTACTGCATTCACCAAACCTCCGAAATGTAGTTTTATATTACTATATATACGGACAACATTCTAAAAATTAGGAACATTCTAAGCGAATTTTCTATTTTTGTCTTCCGTAGTTGAAGAAGTTGGATATTTGGTTTTAAAATGAATTGCAAGTTAATTTTCGTAATTTTTACAAACATCACAATTATAAAAAGATTTTGTGTAAATTTTCGGTTACAATCGAATTTTCGTGACTTTTTATAAACAAGTTATTATGAGGATTATAAATAAATTCTTGTTTATAAGTTTTTATTTTGTGTAAATGAAAAAATTCGATATTTTATTGTATAATAAATTAAGAGTGAATTTTGTGATTTCCATAAACGTGAAAAATTGTCTACGAATTTTCATTTGAAATCGTTTCGTGTAAAAATTAAAAAATTACATATTTCAATCTGACATGTATTGAAAGTGAATTTTTGTGATTTTTATAAACATTTATTATTTATTGTGGACTTTTTTACAAATAACATTTTCTCAGTGTAGTGTTAAGGACTTAATCGAGTTTGTATTATTTTTTACTAAATACTAAATACTGAATACTCGTACAACTTAAAGTTATGAAAGATTGCTCGAACAGAGCAATTATTGTTCATGACGCAATGTTATCGTGACTATGGGTCGCATGAAATAACATCCTCTAATACGTGCGGATTATCCACTTAACTCGGAACCCACGCTCGCGAGAATATATCATATGAAAATGGCAACAGTGTAACATATACGCTTACTATATAGTCAAATGTCGCTCGCCACCTATGAGCTGTTACTAGAATTATAATTAGGAGAGAACACAGGGCGGTTTGGTTGTTGCAGAAGGATTTTAAATTTATCACAATAAGGAAAAGACGGTCATCTGAAATATAAGTACAATGTAATTTTTTTTACAATACAATGAAATAGTTCACATTCTTACAGACATTGAGCTTCTTTTTCTATTTCGTTGGCTAACTTTCATTTTTAATGTTTAAGCATTTTCCTCCATCCTGTACTTAAAAATTGACGATAACTTTCTACAACTTGACCAGTTTTACCTGATTTTGGATCAGCATCGAATGTAAGAATAAGGGACAAGGAAAGCAATTGAGATACAATAAGACTCTTCACAGAATTCACATTTAAAGATCAGTTTAGAAAAATAGAAATTAATTTAACTCTTGTACTACAGTGTCTAAATCCCGGGCTAGTCGATAAATGACAGAAGTTGTGTATGTTAGAGAGGAAACATATGTTGAGATTCTTACGGTCAAAATAATACGGAACATGGCTATCTTCCAAAGACGAACTACACGGGAAACAGTATCTAGGTTCGTTCGGAGATAAAATTCTGAGATTACATTGAATATCGATGTTAACTCTGTTTTAGAGATATGTTTGGCTTCTTATTATTCTAACATAAACAACTTCTGTTCTTTGCCGATTTGTTCAAAGGGATCCAGACATTGCAGTGCAAGAGTTAAATTAATTTCTATTTTTCTAAGCTGGTCTTTAAATCTGAATTCTGTGAAGTGTCTTATTGTATCTCAATGTATGTGCCTGTTATGTCAAAGTACTTTGTTTACAACGTTATTTTTATTTAAGCGATTTTAACATTGATTACGAAAAATATTTGCACACCATTGTGTTTATTATATTAAATTAATTAGATCGAAATATGTTAAATTTCGTATCATTTAGTAATATTTTCATATGACTATAAGCATTCGATATTATAAAAATGAAATGTGTATGGAGATAAAAATGCTCTTCATAGGAAAATAAAAATAATATAATATCCTTATTATATTTTATAATCATGTAACTATGCTGTTTTGAGATATAATAATGAAAAATGTTAGAAATATGAACTTTTTTTTAAATAGATCACTGTGTTAACAAATACAATACATTGGAACTGGGTGTTTTTCATTTGAAACGAAAATAATAAATAAATATAACAATCTAAAACCTAACGGTAACAATTCAGGGCTCCGCGGTACCCAAGAAATAAGTTTGTAAGTGCCCAACTAATGTTCATTACACGTTTATGATTTGATATCATATTAAACAAGATTGTCTATTTCTGTAGGCCATTTACGTTCTTTCTGTGATATGGATATGATTTATATTTTTCTTGTTGATACTCACCATTTCGAAATGTGTAATTTGATTTCAAGATTCAGAGTTATTTCATAGTAGGTTGTTGAACTCGTCTTAAGATCAGCTACAACAATATGCAGTAAAAAATGCATAGCTTTATTTAAAAAAGTCAAGATAGGCTTGACAAAAACAATATTATCAAAACAGTTTTTTGGAAATTTCTTGTATTGAAATTCGTGGCCAATTAAAAGCTAATTAACAAAACTTATATCAAAATGATAAATCAAAAACATTTTTTTCCCAGATTATTAGAAGTGTTTGAAAAGTCGTAGCGATGCGGCAGTTACTTATATTGAGTATTATATACATATAATTTGCATTATGATACTCAATATAGGTACGTATTTAGCAGAGATCACAAAGGTGTTTAAACAATCAATTATTTTAATAAACTGCATTATTTAGCAGGATCATGTTTGATATTTAGTATAGTTTTAGTTTTTAGTATATATATATATTATATATATACTATATATATATACTATAAAACAACATACTATAGTATATCTGCTTATAATATAATAAAATAGGATTATAAAATAGGATTATAAAATAGGAAAATAGGACTATATATATACTATATATATATATATACTATAAAACAACATACTATAGTATATGTACTTATAATATAATAAAATAGGATTACATATTTGAATGACCTACACTGCCTCACAAAAGTATTTCAACACTTATCATGTTGTTTTGTGTCTATATTATGTGTGTCATATAGAATATTTTGAAGTTTCATTAACACTATAATGGGCAGATTATAGATATTTACGCAAATCCATACTTTGAGAACTATATATAACAACATACTATATATATATATATATATATATATATATATATATATATATATATATATATATATATATATATATATATATATATATATATATATATATATATATATATATATATATATATATATATATATATATATATATATATATATATATATATATATATATATATATATATATATATATATATATATATATATATATATATATATATATATATATATATATATATATATATATATATATATATATATATATATATATATATATATATATATATATATATATATATATATATATATATATATATATATATATATATATATATATATATATATATATATATATATATATATATATATATATATATATATATATATATATATATATATATATATATATATATATATATATATATATATATATATATATATATATATATATATATA